GCCATTCGGATGAACTGTCTGTTTCCAACTCCTGAGACTGCAAGAGAGTCTGTACCTGAGAGGAGGTAATCACTCGGAGGTATTCGGCATCAGGTGCTTCCTCTACCTGTTTTGAATTAGAGGAACAGCGCATACAGACCCTGGTGAGCCTCTGCTAAAGGCGAGGTGCATTCCAGAAGATTTCTCTGTTGATGGTCACAGGAGACTAAGTTTATTCTACATCCAATGTTTTATCTTCTATTTACTTAATGGACTATTGAAGATCCAGGATCATGGACATTTTTTAACCATTTATTATTTTCACTGGAGTGCAAGTTACACACATGCGTTTTTCTTGTCGGTATTCTTTTCACATTGCATCACATTGATTCACAGTTAATATTTAGTGCATTTGATTTTTCATTATGGATATTTTGTAGCAATTACTTTTACACTAAGGTGCATGTTATATACATGCGTTTCTTTTTTGTTTTTCACTTTTTACACATTGTATCACATTACTCCAAGGTCAGCATCTACTATATCTGACACTTTGCGGTCTCATTCACACAGCGCGGCTTTTACCATTAATTTCATACGTTATATCTGACCACACAGATTTCAGCTGCTGCTTAACTTGATTAGAGTAGTGGCGCAAGGTTTCACATCATTCACTGTCCCTCATGTGCTTGCCGATACCAATTACCGATACTTTTTCTTAAAGAGACAGGTGACCTTTGTTTCTAAAACAACACAGACTGATGATTTTAGGGCAGTTTCTCACCAGGGCTAAATACGGATATCACCAGAACTGAACACATGTCCGCACAACAGAACACATGTCCCCAAAGCAGAATTCCTCTCACCAGGCTGCGTGTCGCTGACCATCGGGTTTTTAGGGCAGTTTCTCACCAGGGCTAAATACGGATATCACCAGAACTGAACACATGTCCGCACAACAGAACACATGTCCGCAAAGCCAAACACATGTCCCCACAGCAGAACACATGTCCCTAAGGCAGAATAGTGTTCTGCTTTGGGGACATGTTTTCTGCTTTGGGGACATGTGTTTGGCTTTGCGGACATATGTTCTGCGAATACATGTCCCCAAAGCAGAATTCCTCTCACCAGGCTGCGTGTCGATCACACTCGGGTGACGTGGACATCTGCGGGCACTCCACCTCCCCGGCGATGCTGGGACCCGGCCTCCCCCACGCCCAGACCGGCAATGCTGCCACGTCCAGTCCGGCCGACTATCTGCGCTGCTGGGCCCCCCAACCTTCATCCATCTCCGGGCTCAGTCCTCCCCGTCAGTGTGAGGCAGGAACCCCCAGCTTCTAGCCCTGAGGCGGTAGTTCCGCCCCCGGGGCTGTCCATGGCTGTGCCTGTGCCAGGAAGGAGGAGATAAAGAACCAGACAGGCACTGCCATGGACAGCTATCTGCAGGTCCCCAGCAGGCTGCCGAGGTCCCCACAAGCACGGGAACTCAAGTGGGCCGCTGCTGTTTGAAAATGTAAAGGCCCGGTATCGGCCTTAAGAATCGGGGCATGTATCTACTAGTATCCCTATTTTTTTAGGTATTCATTTAAAAGAGACCAGCTTTTAAAGATACTGGGGGGAATTTATCAAAACTGGAGCAGACAAAATCTGGAGCACATTTGCACAGCAACCAATCAGCCTCTCTCTTTCCTTTTCAAATCTTACCTGAGCGAACTGAAGAGAGAAGCTGATTGGTTGCCATGGGCAACTGCTCCAGATTCTGTTTGCTCCAGTTTTGATAAATTCTCCCCACTGTATGTTAATCCTTTAAATACCTTGTTTTTTGGGTATACTTTGTAATTATAAATACCTGTACATGGGAGGCGGCCATATTTCCTCCTTACATATGCAGGGTCGGCTTCCTCCTTTGCAGTTTTACACAATGGATGTGCTGAAGAAGAAGTGCTGGAACTACCCTTTGACTTCTGAAATGTTCAACAGAAATAAACCAAAATATTATTTTATTAAGATATTAAATCTCTCTTGTAAATGTTTGTTCCTTATTTATTTATTTTTTGGTTCTTTTTTTCTTACATGGCTAACAACCAAGATATACGACCTTGGCGCCCAGTTGGAATCCATTAACAGTTCTGCGGGTTGCGCACTCTGCGATGTCATCGCCTCCCATTCTGTAGCTTGTGAGACTCTGACACAGTGTAGCGGAGACACCACCACCACCAACTGTGGCTGCCTTCCTGGTGACAGTAGACATGAATGTGAACGAGGTATTGTGTCATGGTAACATGTCCTAGATATGACTATACACGGGCAGAGTATCAGCAGAGAAAGGTTGTGTTCGATATGTTCTGCCAATAGGAAGAAAGACTACAGTCTGATGGCTAGCCTCCCGGTATATGGAGCAGCCAGGGTGGACAATGTGATTGTTGTTTCTGTTGTGTCCAGTGTCATAGGAGGGATTGCTGTTAGGATGGCAGAGCGGTGAGGGGGATGGGAATCTATACAATTCAGCCAAAAGAGTATTTATAGTTATATATTTCTAAAGAGGGTCAACTCCATATTAATGCCCAATTGTGTGCCTCAGGTTGTTGCCCAGGTTTACACACATGGTAGTTGCCAATACACAAAAACACCTATTTCATATATGGCCAAACACCTGACCATCATACCTACCGGTATGACCTAAAGTATGTGGACACCCCTCCAAATTATTGACTTCAGATGGTTCCAGTGAAGGGTACTTTTGAAATACTACAGAGACATTATAGACAATTGGGCTCTTCCAATCTTGTGGAAACAAGTCCCATTTGTGTTCCCCAGTGCACGAAGCCAACTCCATAAAGACATGGCTTGATGAGTTTGGTGTGAAGGACCTCAAGTGCCCTGCACAGAACCCTGATCTCAATTCTACTGAACTCCTTTGGGATGAATTAAATGCGGATTGTGAGCCCAGTCTTCTTGTCCAAGCTGTTATAGCTGCAAAGGGAAAAGGGTAACTCAATATCAATGCCAATAGTTTTTGAATGGGGGGCCCAACAAGCTCATACTGTATAGCAGGGGTAGCCAAACTGTGGCCCTCCAGCTGTGATGAAACTACCAGACCCATTAGGCATTGCAAGTCTCTGACAGCCATAGGCATGGCCTACTGAGGCAGATGCATGATAGTATTTGTAGTTTCCCTACAGCTGGAGGGCCGCAGTTTGACTACCCCTAGTGATGTGGGCCAAACTTTAGAGTATAATACAGATGTTGCAACAGATAAGACTTGTATTGCGTCTTACTTTTATTGACTTAGTAAATCTCCCCACTGTCCCCCTATCTTATACTGTAGCTTCCTGTTGTGTTTCCCTCCTGCATATTATTTTAATGAGTACTTATTTTCTTCATTAATATTTACTATATCCTGCAGATGATACAGAGCACCTCTTCCAGCCTGGCGGCTTCATAGAATACAGGTTTACTCACGCGTTTCATCCACAACGGACACATTTCCTGGCAATGGTGAGGACGCGTCAGTCTCACAGCACAATCCTCAGCCTGTTCTCCAGTGACAGGACCGAGTACATCTTTCTGCAGGTAACTGGGAGATGAAGACTATCCCGATAGTAGTTCTGTTGTCCAATTGCATAGATATCCTTGTCATCCATTTCCAGAGATAGGGCAAGGACTAGCAGTCTGTCAAATCAGGCATCTGCTAGAAGGGCTGTTGGATGTTCCTAGAGAGATGGTCCCAATACTATACCCAGAGTCCACTAATAATAACTTTAGCTCCACACTTAGAAAATGGTGGCACACATCAACATGGGGAAGGGGGGAGGGGCTCTGTACTTTAGCCTTGCAGCTCCGATTGGTCCTGGGTTTTTGACATTTGTACCTGGAAGTTTTTGTACCTTCCTTAGAATTCAAACTGTTTTGCAATGTTTCAGTGTTCAGTGCATGTTGTGCCCAGCATGGAGGACCGAGGAAAGAGTGCAGGGCGTCATGGCTCCGCCCACGAGGAAGACACCCTGCACGCCCAGTGTATTGATGCAGAGGGTGACAATGATGTCATCTCATCAGCGCCACCATCTCTGCTCACTGCCAGGGGAGGATCAAAGGGGACCAAGAGCATCACGTGATTTGCCACAAGACATCCGAAAATAAAATTAGAGGACGAAAAAGCACAACATACTGCTGGGGGGCCATAAGGGGAAGGAAGGGGTCCTCGGGTGGGGGGAGCAATCTGTCATAGAGCTGGGCAATTTAAACTTAGCATATGATGCAAAACCACATTACCTTCACTGAAAACCACATGGCAGAGCCAGAGCTATATAAGCTGATATTTTATTCAGACCTTGACTTGTAAAAGTCATACTTGGCCCCAGTGTAGCGCTGCCAGATCATTTCACATTTCACTTCCTTGCAACCGTGGTAAAAGTACTGAGTTTGTGTACAATGGCAGCTGCCGAGATTGCACTTTGACTAAATGCTGGCCACGGCGCCGCCTGTTTCCTCCACCTGTTGGCAGAGATATGACAGTTTCTGATGGGAAAATGTTTTTGCCTCCTTCCTGATAGGTGGTAGATGGCATCCTCACGGCTTCGTATAATATCGGTGACGGTAACTACGTAGTGAGACTCGCCGGTCACAGACTGGATTCTGGGGAGTGGTGTGAAGTCGGTTTGGAGAGGCTTCAGAACGAATTCACTCTGCGTTTGAGCAGCGGAGCGGAGCATGGCGAGGTCACAGTGGCGCATGGCACGTACAAGGAAATTAGAGTGGATCCAAGCAGTGTTTTTCTGGGGAGCGGCAAGGTGGAAGAGCCAAGCTTCCAAGGTACGATGCACACTCAACCCAAACCACCTTCTATATTAAGTGGCTGGGGTGTACTTATATACAGTATACACTTTATAACTGAACTCCAGGGAAACAGATAAACACATAGATTAAATATATATAAAGTCGTTTTACCTCCTAAAGGACTTGTATTTATATCCATCCAGTTCTCTGCAACACAGCACTGTCACATTAATCAGGGCAAGAGGCCAGACTTTTCTCTCTAACACTTTCAAGTCTTGTTCCTGCTCTAGCCTGTGGCTGGAGAGTGAAAGGAGAAGCAGCGGACTGATGAGCTCATTTCTCTGTCACTCTTCTGCAAGTGTCTTGTAAATGAACACTGCAGAACAGCTGATTGGCATCTTGTGCTGATTCTTCCTCTCCCAGCCCGAGCTCTGTTGTACAGAGACTGCAAGTGGTTGATATCGAGTCACATTCAGGTACTGCTCCAGAACTCAGGTGGCTCCAGAATCCGGCTCTGGAGTTGGGGAAGTCCGTTCTCAGGGCAGCCATCAGAAATTTTGGGGCCCCTTACACGGCTTTAGGCCGGGCCCCCCCCCCCGCGCCGCTGGACGCAGGGATTAGTGACGCGCTGGACGCACGGCTTAGTGACGTGCTGGGCGCAGGGCTTAGTGTGACACGCTGGACACAGGACCCACCTGAGAGTGACCCTGCAGAGCCCACCATAGATGCTGCACAGCCCATCTGAGACTGTCTATGGTGGGCTCTGAAGGGGTCTCAGGTGGGCTGGTCAGGGCTGCATCCCTCCCCTCCCTTCTTTCTTTTCTTCCTTCCTAGCTCCTCTTACCTGCACACATGGCCTTGTCTGCCGCCGGACCGGCCAGAAGTGACGTCACTTCCTTCCGGCCAGTCCGACATCAGACGAGCAGCGTCGCTGATGGGGCCCTAGCTTGTCTCAAAGCCGCTGGAGCGGCAATGCTGGGGCCCTGTGCTGCTAGGGCCAGGCCTCCGCCTCCTCGCCCTTCACCGTTGGCCCATAGTCCTATAAGGGACCAGGACGGGCCCCCCAGGCTGCCCGGGCCCCTTACATGAGTATGGGCCGTACCCCGCCCCCCCCACCCCCCCGGTGGCTGCCCTGTCCGTTCTTCCCATATTTTAGAAGATTCTCATGATGGACTTCAGCCTGTTGGGTTGGGGAGGAGTCCTGGGAACACCAGTGGATGGGATTTACTTGTCAGAGAACTCTAGACTTCCAAAAAATATCCTGGCGTTTCGGGTGATTTGGCTGCCCTCAGCATTGTATCAGCCTGTTGGAGGGTTTGTTCATATGTTCAGATACACTTTAGGACGTCTGGCTTGCTTTAGTCTAAATCGATAGGGAAAATAAATTGTTCATTTTAATAAATGTCAATAGGCTGCATGAAGGACATAAGACTGAATAGCTACAGACTGCCGATGGAAAACCAGTCCAGCTCTCCGGTAACAATGATTGAGAAGCAAGGAGTGACTAGAGGATGTACCTCTGATGTCTGCAGGAGCAGTCCCTGTAGCCGGGGCTTCATCTGCACTGATATGTGGATGCTACATGAATGCCGGTAAGACTTTCTTCTACAAATGCCTGCAACTGCAGTGTGTGCTTTATTGGCTTCCTGTGTTGTGGATGGGTGCATTTTACAGTGCACCTCTCAGACAAGTGAAATGGAAGCTGACTCTTCTCTTAAATGTGCAAAGTCTTTTTATGCTTCGCTATCAGGGAATCTGAGTGGAACAAAAGAGCAAGGTTAGTAACTGCACTGACATACAGTTGGGTGTGTGTGCCCTTTGGATCAGCAGTGCTCACACTGCATTAATATACTGCTGGGTGTGCCTTTTGGATCAGTGGTGTTTGTGCTCTACTGCCTTACAGTTGGGTGTGCCTTTTGGAACATCAAAACAGAAGTTCTGCCCAGCATGAGAACAGATACAGATTTAAAAGGAAGAGCAGCAAAGAGAAGGGAAACAACCATGGATTACAGTAAGGCGCACATTACAGTATTGTTTTATGTTAAAAAAATCTGAGGGTTTAATGTCACTTTAACTGACATACAGTTGGGTGTGCCCTTTGGATCAGTGGTGCTCCTACTGGGCAGCTGCTTATCAGCTTGCAACAGGAAGTGCTGTTACTGGCAGGATCTCCAAGTAATATAGTTTGCAACAGATTCACACAAAAAAATATGGTAGAAAACTATTTACTGTAGATAGGTGATAAATAGATTTTGGGTTCATAGATTTGAAACCTCTGCTGGAACTGGAGCTGGGCTTTGCCGACACACATGCTAACCTCTTTTTTCCTGCTCTGTGTTATGTAGCTGCCCCCCAGGGTACTTGTTGATGGAAAACATCACAGGCCAGTGGTGCCTGTATACCGTGTGCGCACAAAGCCCGTGCAAATATGGCACCTGCATACCACGATCGGACGCCGAGTTCTCCTGCCTCTGCGCGCAGGGATTCGCTGGCAGCAATTGCGATGTCATCCATTACACCCTGGATCCGGGATCCACGCTCAGCACGTTCCTCATCACCTGCATCGGCTCCACTGCCCTGATCGGTAATATTTAACATGTGCACAAATGTTTATTTCTCTGGCTACATAGTAACAAAACATAGATTATATCATTTATATCATGCAGAATGTAATGGGAGGAGCTGGGAACACATAAAGGTGGGCAGGAGCATTCAAAGCTGCCAGGTGGACAGGGGTCAGGAGTTATGGCTGAGGGATCTCACTCTTGGAGCATCCGAGGCATATAGGAAGTCAGGGGCTGACACAGACCATTGGGCTCTACACATAACTAAAATATCACTCATGGGTGGATGTGTCCTTTAATTAATGAAAGCTTGTTGGTTATTACAAAATGCGGTCTATATTTTTTCTTTTCCTCCAGTATTTATTCATATTTATTGCTAGCCTGCAGTTGTATTCAAAACATAATTGTGGTTCTGAATGCCCCCCCCCCCCCCCACCCCCCTCCTTTCCCTCTCCCCCCAGA